ATACACAAAAACAGGAAATGATAAGTGTTGGTGAGGATATGGAGAATTTAAAACCCTTGTGCACTGTTGATGGGATTATTAAATGGTATAGCTGCATGGAAAACAGAATGGAGGGTCCTCAAAAAATTAAAAATAGGCCTCCCCGGTGGCGCAGCGGTTGAGCGCTGGGTTGCAAAGCTGCCCGCAGCCTCTGCAGCGCCAGTTCAATCCCCGGCTGCTCCCCGGCCACCGGAGGAGGGTCCCACATGGCGCGCAGACCTCTTCTGCCACCCGCTGCTCCCCTCAGCAGTGTCCTTCGGTCCTTCTGCCTGCTCTGCTCCCTGCTCTGGCTCTGGTGAATTCTCTCACCCTCCCGCGCTTCTGACTGTACCCAGTGCTTGTATAAATAAATAAATAAATCTTTAAAAAAAAAATTAAAAATAGAATTACCATATGGTCTAGCAATCCCACTTCTGGGTATATTCAAAAGAATTGACTCAGGAGCTCAAAGAGATATTTGCACATCTGTGTTCACTGCAGAATTATTCATAACAGTCAAGAGTCAGAAGCAACCCAGTGTCCATCAACAGATGAATAGTGTAAAATGCAATGGAATATTACTCAGCCTTAAAAAAGAAGGAAATTCTGTCATATGCTACAACTCAGGTAAGCCTTGAGAACTTTATGTTAAGTGAAATAATCACGAGAAGGCAAATTTTACTTATATGAGTATCTAAAGTAGTCAGACTTGTAGAAACAGAAAGAATTCTGATTGCCAGGCTGCGGGGAGAGAGGAAAAAGGGGTTGTTTAATGAATATGGAGTTTTAGATTTGCAAAAGAAATTCTAGACCCTGTTAACAACAACCAAATGTATACAGTAAACACTACTATACTACTCTTAAAAACGGATGATGGTAAATTGTATGGTATGTTTTGAGCACAATAAAAAAAAAAAGGAGATGTCAAATGCACTATCTCCCAAGGTAAGAAATCTCAGGAGAGCTCCTTGGTGAAGTTATTAGCTATATTCATAAAATCAGTACTGGCCTGTCTGTCCTGAAATGTCTTAACCACAGTTTTCACTGAAATGCTTCTTGGAGGGAGTGTCTTTCAAGCTGGATGTTAGAATAAGTAGGACTTTAATGGGCAGAAGAGTGGGGGGTGGGGAGGGGAAGGGTGTTGGAAGGGAGGAGAAGCCAAACACCCAAGTAAATGGGGGAGAGGGGACTGGGAGGAAAATGCAGGGTGTGTAGGGAAAAGGCAAGGTGAGCACAGGTGGAGGTGGGAGGGGTGGCCTGTGGAGGGAGATGAGGTAGGAAAGGGCAAAAGGGGCCAATTTGGGAGGGGCCTTGAACCACAGGCAGAACTGGGAGTTGGAGAAGCTGAGCAGGGGCAGGTGAAGATCAGATCTTGGTACTGTGGAGTGGGGGCGAAGGGCAGGGAGGAAATTGGAAGGAAAGGAGGCACTGGGGGGAGGCACTCAGTGTTGGAGCTCAGGGAGATGGGCCAAAGGCCAGTGGGGAAGGGCCCGGAGGAGGTGAGAGCCCAGCGAGGTGCGCTGAGCCCAGCACAATGGCAGGCAGCATTTTCACCCCAGCCAGGCTGATCACGCGCGACCTTCCCTTGAACCCCGTCAGGAAATCACCGCGAAATCCCTCCCTCCCATAAATTAAGGACAACCACGGTAGCAACAACAGTTGGGGGCAAACAACAGTGGCCTCGCAGCTGTCCCCACCAGCGGGGGTCTTTTACACCCCCTGGCCCTGGGCTGGGAGTGGCTGGGGGTGAGATAACATCACACTGATCCTCTAAATCAGTTTTGTGCTGTGAATCAACAGAAGGTCTCAGGGCTGGGGCAGGCCAGGGCGCTCCCCCCCCCCCTTACATTGATCATTTTCTTGAGCGAATCAGTTCCGGTTTTCAGTGAGTGTAAGGGGGGTTGCAGATGAGGATGGCAGAGGAAGAAGAAATAAACTTTCAATGTCTCCTCCTCCAGCCAACATGGGGGCGCCTTGGCCAGCACCACTCACCCCCCACCTCTCCAGCAGATGGCTGAGCTCCAAGCTCCTAACTGATGACAATGGACAACCATGACTGCAAGAATTTCCCATATCTTGTATCCCTAACTCCAAAATTTCTGAGACAGTATATTTGAAATTCTTAAGCCCATTGTCCCCATAATTGTAGGAATATTTGTCATACCCTATGTTCAAAGGCTGCTTCAGGAAATAGGGACCTAGAATCATTAATAGTGACTATTTGTTGAACTCATGTGCCAGGAGTGGTGTTAATCTCATGGGTCACTGCATTTAACCTTCACTGCAACTCTTTATGAAAGGTGCTGCTATTATTATGGTCCCATTTGATAGCTGGAGAAACAGAGGCTCCAAGAAGTGAAGGACTTTTCCAAAGTCATGCAACCAAAAGTTGCATCTGCCTGCTTGCTGGGAAGCCCATTTCTGACAGATGCTGGTTACTGTGCAGAGATGGCTCAGCGGGGGGGTCAGGGCTGGGCATTGGAGCACTCAAATTGAGTGCAAAATATAAGGGCCCCCAAAACCTCAGGAATCAAGAGAAATAATATTTTAATGCAAACGATTTTAAAGAAATCAAACCCACAATGAAAAAAAAATCAAAATGTTACATAGAGAAAGAATCCGAGCAGTGACTCAGGATTGGTGGGGTAGAGGAATGAGTTGGTTTTGGTGAGTTCATCTTTTGTGAACTGAGTTCCAAAAGGCTGGAGATGGTTGTGAGCCTTGCTCATCACTTTCCCTTTGGTTAAATTCCAAAGAAAGAAGCAACAGGGTGATAAAGATTTCCAGTCGGAGCAGAGAGTGAGCCGAGCACCACAGAGAATGAATGAACGTTAGCTCTCTGTGCTCTGCTGCGTCTGGTGACTGCTGCCATTGCTGCTGCAACTTGCGGGGAGGGGTGGGGTGTGGGGAGACCCCAGCCCCTGCTGACCTATGCTGAGAGCAGCGCCTTCAGCAGGAAGCCCCTCCACGTGCTCTTAGGGGAGATCAGCTTTTTGGCAGGTGAGCCTGCTCCCTAAGCCGGTGCTGTGGGCTCTCACCAAGGGAAAGACAGTGCGTGCGGGTCTTGCTGAAACTCAGGATGATTTTGCTTAAGCCCAGTCCTCGGGTGTGCCCAGGCCTCCCCAGCCCCATGGCTCCCAGCTCCCCGAACAGTACTAGATGCAGACATGGAGATGTGGGCAGGGGCAGTGCCAGGGAAGGGAGAGCTCTTCAGATGGGCTGAGTCAGAGAGCTCCTTGAAGAGAAGCAGAAAGCACCCCCTTCCCTGCAAATCTTCAACCAGTGCTCCTAATAGTTCTGGATGCAACTGGTGGGCTAACTTTGGCTATTGCCCCGTCAGAGGGCCTGTGGCTATTGTCCTCCATTATAAGCGCCTTGAGGAGATGCTTTAGGCATGGAGATGAAATATTTCAAAATGAAGATTGTCCTTGAAATCTACCAGAGGATGTGGGATTTGGGGGGCTGAAGTCCGGTGTTTGAGTTCATTTCTAAAGTGACTAACTGTCTGGATTTGCCTGGGTCTGAAGGGTATCCTGGGTCACTGGGCTTTCCGTGCTAAAACTGGAAAAGTCAGGACAAATGGAGATGAGTGGATCACTCTTTGACCCCGTTCTAAATATGTTCTCCTCAAAATTTCTGTCTCTTTCCCATACTTCTGGAATTGAAATACTGTCAAGACTTTCTGTGCCTCCCTCACAAACTAGTGGGCCCCTAAAGTGCTAATGCATGATCCCCCCCCCAGCACCGTGAACCTCTCTGTCACAGCTCATCCACCCACTGGGCACCTCCAGGGCTCTTCTTGCTCTCAGCCTGAGCTCTTTGGGGGTGGGAGGGGAGACTACCATATTCATGCCTGCATCCCCAGTGCTTCGTAAAGAGAAGATGCTCGGGAAACTGTCCGCCATGGGGAGCGCTCTGTGAAGCAGAGTGTAAAGATTGTGCTTGGAGGGTTGGCACTCTCCTGCCTGCCTGTGGCAGGCCCCAAGGGAAAGTCCTCTAAGGTTAAGACAGATGTGGCTGTCAGAGGACACAGTGAGCAGTGGGGGCAGGAGGCCTGGCGATGCATTGTTCAGAGCAAGGTGGGGACAGGGAACCAGACAAAAGGTGAACAAAAGTGGGAGAAGCTGGGGAGGCCCCAGTGGGGAGGTGAGGAAACAAATCCCCACAGGGAGGAGGTGGACATTAGCTGGGGTCTCAACAAGCAGGCCAGTTCCCCCTTCTGGCCTTGAGGCTCCAGTACCAAGCCAGGCGTTTTACCTGCATTCTGAGGTCCAGTGCTAGCTCTCAGCTGTCTGCCTCCCTGATTCTCCCCAAGGCCTGCGACCTCTCATGAGGACTCAAAGGGTGATCTTCGCTGGGGGTCATGTAGGCTGAACTGCCCCCTTGGCCTGCACCTTACCCAGATCTTCAGGATGAAATCTCCTGGGCAGCCTGTCCCAAGTCCCACTGATCCATTATCCTCTTACCCCTAGCCTCTCCTAGTCTTAGCTTCTCTGCCTCTACAGGGTCTTGGCTCAGCTTGACCCCACAGGATCCCAGGTCTCTGATCCTCTGTCTCAACTGATTCTCTAAGAGTGAACCCTATTTCTCTGGGGTCATTTGGAGCTGGCCAGGGCTTGGTGGGGAGACGTAGGACCCAGAGGTATGCTGGATTAAGGAAAGCCTCTCTCCAACCCTTGCCAGCCTGCACCCAAAGGCTCCATCCACGTGTCCCCTAAGTCTATGTGGATTCTGCTTCATTCTTTTGCTGGTATATCCTTTTTGGAACCCAGGAGTGCTAGTGCACAGACTTAATCCCCATCACCAGAGAATCCCCCTGAGTAGGAGAATCCCCCAAAGTAACCAGTCTAGTCTCTTGCATTGGGTAGGTTAGATAGTATTATTCTCAAGTCATGGTCAGGTCAGTTAGGCTCAGAGAGAGCAAGCAACCTCCCCAAGGTCACACAGAAAAGAAAACGATCAGCTGCTCCTTAGCCACCTACCTGAAATCTCCTTTTTCCGTCTGGTTGACTTTTTCTCCGTCTCGTTGACAGTGCTCCCAAGGACCTCATAGTCCTCACCTGGACCTCCTGTGGTGTCTACCAGGCCTGGGCTGCTGGCCCCCATCTCCCTGGAGCCCGCAGCCGGGCCTGGGGTGAGCCTGCGCCGGGCCTCCAAGACAGGAAAGTGCCAGTCGGGAGGCTGAGGGAAGGCAGGGTGCTGCTCAGTGTAGACACGCTCCTCCTGGGGTAGGCTGTGTGGGGTGGCCGCCAGGCAGGAGGCCGAGAAGTTGGGGTATGCTGCCGTCGCTGTTGCCGGGAAGTCTGGTTTCTGGTGGAAGGAGAAGGGGGTTGGCGGGTAGTGGGGTACCCCTGATGTCCCACTGCCTTCGGAGTGGGGGTTTCGAAGGCAACCCCAGACAGGGGCTGGGGGGTGGGGGCTCCGCATGCAGCTGCTGGCCACAGGATCCATCTGCCGTCTGCTGCACGCCTGTCTTTTCAAAGGTTTGATTCTTATACCTTTAATATTCAAATTGTTTTAAATGCAAAAAAAAAAAAAATAGGAAGGAAAAATGTTCAAGAGAAAATTCACCCCAGGAACCAAAACAAAAACCAAAACTAAAGTCTCTCCTTAAAGTACACACACATGTGGCCGGCTACACATATGTGTGTGCGCACACCTATGTCGGACTTCACTCCTGGCTTCCTGTCCCCCCGACAACAAGCCTGCCTATTGGGGTCCCCTGTACGTGTATTGGTCGCCGATGACATTCAACATTTTCACTGTCCCAGCCCAGACGCACCAGCTGATGAGGATCCGGTCCTGGAGCCCGGAGCAAATGCCTGCCGAGGGCTGGACCGGGCTGCTGAGACACACTTTTAAATCCTGCGGTGGGGAGAGAGTGACAAATTTCTGAAGTGAAATGTGAGAGAGGAGAGGGAGGGGTTAACCCACACACACGATCCCCTCCAACCAAAACCCGAGCAGGCAACTATTAATCATCAGAAACCTTATATGCACATCTAATGGGATTTGCAGATGGAGACTTTTAAAGAAACATTGTCTGCATTTTTTTTTTAAGGAGCGAGAGCAGCACACACACAATCTCTTTAATGTGCCTCCTGTAACACTATGAAGTTATTTTATTGCACTGTTAACAAAATTCCCCACTTCTTGGATTTGGAAAAAGCCTTAAGTCAGATCCAGAATCCATCAAATGCCAAATTCCAGGGAGTGAAGTGGTGAATAAGTGTAAGAGACAAGTTTGCTGATTGCATTTGATTTAAAGGCCCTTCTACTGCTGCCTGCAAAAAGGAAGGTGGATTAAAAGAAATCTTTTTTTGCAAGTCTCAGCGGTCCACTATGGTCTATAGTATAAAGAAAGACACACTCCAGAAAAAAATGATCTCTTTCTGCCCAAAGTGACGTTCTCACTTTCTCAGTAACTTAAAAAAACAATCAGATTCTTCCTTCCGCTCTTTAACCTCCAACTTACATGCCAATTAGCCACACTCTTTTCTAGAGGGGTTTCAAGTCATTTTTCTCCATGGCAAAGGAAAGACTCTTAGAGAAGTTGCTTGAAGTTTCTCCAGGCTTCCCCCACCTGCTCCCTGCCCCTCTAACCTGCACCCACCTGCTTCTCCTTTCCACCCCCAGAGGCCACGGTGTCCGTGGAATCTGGGGCATGGAGATAGGAATCGAGGGGATACTTAACTCCCCCAAAGGAGTTGTCTGGCAAACAATCCCTTAAGTCTTTCTGGCTGGTGCCTAGAACAGGAGGCCAGCCAAGTGCCATGTCAACCAGTCTGTCTACTCAACCCCATGCCCTCCTGGTCTCTCTGGAGGGATCACGTCATTTCTTGGAGGATGACCTTCCAAACACATAGTGCAAGAAGTCCTCTCCCACTGCATGTTTCCATGGCCCACAGCAGGACCAGGCCTGACAGGGACATGGATTAACAGCAATGTCTCTGCTGGCTGGTTCCTGTGGTGCCTGTTAGCTCAGCAGTCTGGAGGCCACACACACAGTCTTCATGAAGTAGGGGCACTGCCTTCTGGAACGGGTGGCCTGGGTGTTGTAGGTCAGTAGGGGAGCTGGGTTCATACTAACAGATCAGACTCATCTCTCATCTGTGTCCAGGACTTGGCTGTTGCATCTTTCCCTCTGACTCCCACAACTCTCCTCTGTGGCACAGTAAGATTATGTTCTAATTTTACAGATGAGGATACTGAAGTTCTGAAAGACGATGCAGCTGAAAAATGGCAGAACCAGGCGTTGTCCTCAGGTCTCCTGCTCTCCAGTCTGGAGCAGTAGGATACAAGGGAGGAGTATGGACTTTGGGGTTCAACAAGTCTGAGTTCAAATCCCGGCCTTGCCACTTTGTGGCTGCGCTCCGGGGATGCCTCTCCGAGCCTCCATTTCCTCAACTGGGGTGAGAATCATGGTGGACCTTCATCCACTGATTGCAGCTCTTCTCACAGTTTGCCCACAAATGTCCTCTGAAGCAGATACTTTTCTCATCACCCCTCTTCCAGAAGAGGCCTCCAAAGCACAGAGAGACTGTGGCCTGTACAAGGCCACACAGCTGGGAAATGAAGGGTCCCTGGCCCCAAAGTTTCAGAAGGCCCACCCCACAGGCATTTGAGAATTTTAAATGAAATTATTTATGCAAAGTTCAGAGTGGGTAATAGATAAAAGCGGCTTCTTTCTTGGTACAGCAAGTCCTCTTTAGCCTCTGTGATTCTGAAGGGAGAATGTGGTTCTACGGAGGAAATTCTACAGAAACAGCTTTGCGAGGTGCCTCGGGGGGCTCTAGGCTGTGGGGCTCTGGAAGGAATCCATAAGAGGCTGGGAGGAAGATCTGGGCTGTCAGCTTCCTTAGGAAAACCTTCCCGGGGGCCTGGCCCAGCAGGCTGTAACCAGATTCCTGCTCTGGCCTCCGCATCTGGCCCAGGGACCCCATCCCAGCGAGGCCCAGCCGCCTGGCCCTTTGCCCCTAGAAGAGGTGGGCCCTGGGTCATGGTGGGGTGGGTGGAGAGGTCAGGAGGGGCCGCAGGGTGGGGGTGAGGTGGGGGTGTTCTGCGTTGAGAAGCAGGGTGGCTGGGCGCCTGCGCAGCTGCTGGAGTCTGTCAGCCACCCTGCGGGGCGCGGCCAGGGGGCTTGCAGGCCTCTACATCTTCCTGACAGGCCCCTCTTCTGAGGCCAGGAAAAAACAACAACAGTTCCTCCCCTCACGGCAACCCATTTGTTAGATGAAGGCCGGGCACCAGCACCTTTAACCTCCTCAAAGTCAGCATTTCCCTGTCAAGGTCCCACGGGCCTGAGGGGCAGACAGGAATGGAAATGGCTGTTTGTGGAAAAAAGTCCCGGGGCTGCACAGCCAAGGGGAGCAGGGTTTCAGGAAGGGTGGGGACCCAGTTTCTGGTTGTTGTTGGGGGAGGGGGAGGAAGAGGAAGAGCGTGAGTCAGGAGGAAGATCCCTGAGGGATGCTGAGGAGGGCCGCTGACAGCCCCACACCTGAACCATCCCAGAGAACTTTCGGAATTTCCCCATTGTGCGAGGCAAGCGGCATGCCCGCTCTGCTTCCGGCCCAGCCACACACCCACCTGTGCCTACAGTGTCTGGAAGAGAACCTGGCCTGGGAGGTAGAAGACTTCAGGTGCGGCCTTGCCTTTTGCCAGCGGCTTTGTGGTGTCGGGCAAGTCATACCCCTTTGCTGTCCTCAGTTTCCTCAGTGGTCAAATCGAGAAGATGATTCCTGCCTGGCTGGGCTGTGGTAAGGATAAATGGACTGGCTCCTGGAAAAGTTGCATGATTGATGCCTGTGGGGAATTATTACACCTCTTTAACTCTGTTGAACCACTAGGCAGGTCACGTCTTCATGAAGGGGAAGCCAGTTCATCCTAGCCCCCTCACCCCAAACCAATGCTTTCTTCTATGGCAACATAACACAGGGTCAAGATCATGGCCTCAGGAATGAAGAGAGAGTGGGTTCAAATCCCAGCTCCACTATGAGTGAGTGGATGGCCCAGAGCAACTCCCTTGTCGTTTGAGTTTCAGTTTCCTCATACGTAAAATGGGGATAAACTTTTTCTTTCTTCTTCACTCGGTTGCTGAGAGGAGTGAGTAAGGCAATCTAGGATAGCTCTGCCTTGGCCTGGTGCACAGTTTTTAATATCTGGGTGTTGATAATAATGGAAATACTTGAGATTTTTCCTGCAGGAAAACTCCAGAATATCCGGTGTAGTATTTCCACATCACCCTGAAGAGGGATAAAACGAAGCCATTAGCTTCCACTCACATAGTAGAACATGTGAATTAGACAAGACAAGACTAATTGCTGCATAAGACCTCAAGGGAAAGAACAAACTGGGAATATTTTGGGCTGGGAGGTTTACCATGGGGCCTGGGGTTATTTGGAGTTTCATGTCCTTTGCTTAGGAAGTTTGGTCACTGCTGACCTCAGGGCTTTTTGTAAGGTTCAAATAGCAGGACTGAGTTGAGGAAACAATAGAATACAGTCCTCCCGAAGGTCACAGGTGCTCCCTCGAAACCGGCAGGTGGGGCCAAGCTATTGCACCCAGGAGAGCTAATGACAGGACCTCTCCTTAAAACCCAGAAAACACCAAATTCACAGATGCTTTTTCAGATGACAGTTTTCTCTCACATGTATATTTTTTAACACTTCAGTGCTGGCCGTTGCTGATCTGCTACCAGGATTATGGGCAGATGACCAGAAAACACAGGAGCACACAGAGGGCCCCCGTTTCAAGCCTGGCTCCTGGAGGCCACTTTGGTGGCCTCGGCTGAAAGGTGGAGGCTCGTTGTACAGAGATATAGCCCTTCCATCGGTGACAGTAAACAGGCCCCGTCCAGGGGTCTGTGCCTGGAGGAGTTAGAGGTATGCTGAAAGGCCTGGGGTGGCGGGTCTGGCAGGAATGGGCAGAGCGACTGGTTCCAGTGAGAAGTAAAGGCAGCCGTATTGACGAGAAAACTCAAAACAATAAAGAGGAAACACACAAAGTTGTTATTGTCCTCAGGAGAAGGTGTCTGGAGGTGCAGTGCCAGGCCATCCCAACCTCAATGTCCCATTCCTCACTGTCATCACTGTCATCACAGAAGCCTCTGGCATCTGGTGTAGCAGCTGTTCACAGTCAGTGCTCATGTGGGCATTCCAAATAACAGGAAGGGAGAAGGACAGTGGGCTCTCCCTGCCTCTCTGCCCCAGGCCAGGAGGCTGTCCAGAACCCTGGTTGATGACCATTCTATGTCACTAGTGGGCCCTGCTCTCTTAACCATGTGTAGGTGCAAGAGAGGCTGACCCCAGCGCCCTGCCTCCTCTTCCCCAGCAGAACCAGAGAGGTTTTATGGCCGGGCAGCCAGGTAACATCCAGGGTACCCAGTTAGGTATGCTCCAGGCAATATTTGAAACATATTTAAGCTAAAAAGTTGTTTGTTTATTTGATATGCAAATTTAAGTGGGTATTCCACCCTTCCCCCAACCCCCCTGTCAACCACCCCGCCCCAAATCTGGCAACCCTAATCTAAAGGTTAAACTCATCTTCAGGATGAAGGCTCTGGCCTTACATTTTGAGCCTGGATAGTTACACATTGACAGAAGGCTCTGGAAGGAAACTCCAGGGTCACTCCAGAATTCAGGGGAAGGTGTTGTTCTAGGTAGGTGTGTCTTCAGGGAGCTTTCCAGTGGTGGGGGAGCCCTGGGGGTTCCCAGGAAGTCTCCCATAGTGCCCTTTGAGTGAGACAAAGCAGAAGGGAGGAGGAAGGGTGTCCAGGTGGAGTGAGGACAAAGGTGAGTACCCCTGGCAGGAAGTGCTGAAAGTGAGAAGGAGAGAAGGCACCAGTACCCGAG